GTCCCCCGTTTCCAGACTAATTAGAGAATTTTTACGTTTAGTCAAACAAACTATTTTCAACGTTTCTGGAACGTTTACAATCGTTCTATAATCGAATCAATATTCGAATTTTATGTTCGAATTTAAATTGAACAAATTCGAACATATTCGAACATTGTTCGAATTAAATTCGAACAAAACATTCGAAATAAAAAGCCACTTTCAACTACTTTTAGCCTCATATCTCCCGCACCCTTATAGCTATCGAGACGCAACCACCCCTATGCACGAATGGAGACTTGGGGCTACCACCACATACAAACACCATTCACTGTGTGATGTGTAGTTTTAGCGAAAAAGTGAAATATAGGAACGTACATGTCCATTTATATATATATATATAGATTAATTAAAAATGAGTGTCTTTATATCATAGCAGAAATCTAATTTATTTATTTATTTATTATATTCTGAATTTTTAAATAAACAAATATAAAATTGTACACGACACTATTTATTTTCTGATATATTTGTATAATTTCGTAATCTCTAATCCCAGTTTCGGACTCCACCACTTCACTACTAACTGCTTCCTCTCTCTCTCTGACCGTTTTTTCTCGCCTTTTCACCCTTCCTTTTACGGTCCTTTGTCTACATTTCTTATTGCCATTTACGACTACATGCAAATGGTTGCACATTGATCGACAAAATTGCAGTTGAGGGAGACAATATCGCTACACCCCCAACGCAAGATAATTGTTAGGGTGGTAACCCGAACACGGATCTGGACTGTACTCCCAAAGAACAAGGGTACAATAAGGTTGAGTTTCTCGACAATACGTAATGGTGACACACAACTCATCACAATTTTCTTTTTACACAAATTGTCAAAATGCAAAATTTTTTCATTACATTTAATACAGTTTATGCATTTGATTAAATTTATTTAAAAAATTCTTGTATGTTTCGTTTCTACTTCCGTTATCTATCATTGGTAAAGTGATAATGGTCTTAATAGGGGTGGAATTTTGTTAGACGTCCGAAGAGGAGAGGGGAGGTTGACTTGGACAAACTGGGACAAGCGGGGAAGGGAGAGTAAAAATTTCAAGAAAAACGTGCCCTCTGGGTTACAATTAATATTAAAGGTCTACCGTATTTTTATATATAATATGTAAAACAATGTCTTTGGTTTGAAGTATTTTTATTTACTCCAAATGATTTTATACGTATTAATTGAAACTTTTGTATGTAATTTTTTTTTCAGCTCTTGTGAAAAGTCGTTTCTTTTTCATGTGTAAAGATAAATTCCCTTTCTTCAGGCGTCTACTTCAACGTAGGGTGGCGGGTAGAATTAGAAACATTAATGCTATTAAATTTTGGTGGTTTATGGTCGACGGGATGGGGAGATAAAGGATTGTCGTGTGTCATATATCGAGTAGGGTCCGAATTAATGACGATATTACAGGATATTTTTATAAAACCCATTCTTACTATCAAAATTACGCTTTTTGTCATTTTATAATGATTAAAAATGTAAAATTTTTTCTTAAAATGAAATACCGTAACAGATAGACCCACATTTTAAACTTCGAATGATTGAATAATGTTATTAAAACCTTGCAAAGAGTCTGATCTTTGTCTACACTGGACTCAAATGCGCCAATTGCGTGTTCCGTCCAAACCGTGCTAATGTGGCTAACGACAGATTGGTTCTAATGTCCGAAAATTTAAATATACTCCAGTGAACAAAACCAGAAAACGAGCCGAAGAAAGATAAATTATAATAATGTGTACCCAATCGGGAACACCGAATGTACATAGACAGCGCGACGTTTCGGGTGAGTTGACCATATTAATTTAGGAACCAGCAAAACAACAAAGACTACGTAGAAAAAGAATGTTCTCTGAATTGGCCAAAATAAAATCTTACATTAGGATTCGAGAATGTCGTTAATACATCATAGCATTAATGCCAGGTATTCAGTCGCAAATACTACAACGTTCCATACGAGGAAGACACGCCGCCTCTAAATCAAGAGATCGAGGAATCACTGGATCTTTTTTAACTTCGATTTTCATCAAAACGTTTTCTCTCTTTGCTCCATAAAAATTCGCTTATCCACACAAACAGTATTATAAAAATCTTCGAGGAACACATTGCAACGTCATTGGTCAGATCAAAATACAACTAATTTGCATAATTTAGAGCACGAATGATTTTCTTCCCCTTCGTATGAAGTGTCGTAAAAAAACTTCATTACGGGAGAACGTAGACTTAACCTTATTAATTCACTTTGTTCTTTATAAATGAAAACAATATTTCAAGTAAATAATAGTCTATTTTTCTTAACAACTCGCCAATAATCACGAGGAAATCGAGTCATTTGCATGTAAACCCAAACGTCTTCGACTTAAACGTTTGCAAACCGGCAAATGTAGTGAGAAGGAATCAAATTTCCATTGTCTTCCTGTTTATTTGTTCAATATTGCCGAGTTTACAAGGCCAGGAAGTATTCAATTCAGACGAAGTGACTATATTCAACGACAATGGAGAATCGACGGTGGTGTCGCGAACCTCCTTGATAAAGAAGGGCGGATTACTAAAATATTCCGTAGCGGTATGTTCGAACGAAAGAAAATTTATTGTGAAGTTACCTCTGACACTGAAAATGCTACAACAATTTGCCAGGTTTGTACAAATGTATTCCGCGAAAGTTACAGTAGACCCTCCCTATAACACTGTTGATTATTCCGTTTTATATGAATTCCATGTTGTACGAGTCACTTAGATTTTACAAATACGTGTGCCGGGCTGTGAACGCCCCACCTATTTGTAAAATCTAAGTGACTCGTACAACACGGAATTATCTACAGTGTTATAGGGGGTGTCTACAGTATTTATTTTTGGGAAGCCATTAAATGTACTGTCGTTTGTTTCAGCTTTCTGGAGAAGAAAATCGTTAAGTTTACATCTGCGGATAACGGATTCAAAATGTACTTATTCTCCAAACGTTACTTTATTAGCAGACTAGAAAAAATGTGCCTGGATTATTTTAAAGGGTCGATTTCTACCGGAAACGTCTGTCGTATCCACGATTTAGCCTGCGGGCGAGACGAAAAACAATTGCAATACGAATGTTACTCTCAATTTAGTTTCTCCGATAAAAATATATTCCGTACCGACGATTTCAAATCGTGCCAAGACACTACTATTTATAAGTTACTGACCTGTCCCATTTACTCCGAATTGAAGGAATTCGATTTGTATATGGGACTTCGAACGTGGATGGAAAAAACATATCTTAAATTGAAGAAAACAAATGCTATTATAACGAGGAGAGATATTATAAAACCTTTTCTGCCATTGATCAGATTTTTCGCTATAAAACCGGAATTCTTAAAACACATCGTGGAAAACTGTGAGAAAGCCGAGATTTTAACGGAAGAAGAAGTTCGATCGATAAGAGAATTTCTCACTGGAAAAAATGTAGCCCACCTCCCGGTAACGATTTCTGCTAATGTTCAATCGCGAGAATCTTATCGCTTGTTTACTGCCACCAACTTTGTCAGAAAAGAAACAATTAAATGGACGAATGGGGACTTCCAGTTAATGGCCGATATGTGGGTGCCTACAATATGTACGGTGAATGCCATCGAACTACCAATAACCCATTTTAATTCTAAAGGGATAAAGGTTTTGTTCGGTACGAAGTCCACTTATTCGCACGATTTTCTATACGAGAGGGGCCTCTGCGATAAAGAAGGAATTGTGCGTTTTAAAAACGTGAAATTATTACCCGCCCGTAGCTTTCACATATTTACTGTTAAAGTTCCGAGAGAGGAAATTCGTTCCAATATCATACTGTTTTTGGAACATGCCTACGGATACGTTCCGATATACGATTTTCCATACTCGGCTATGAGAAGTGAAGAAGAAGGAACGATATTTCAGTGTAGACATTACTTCGTTTTCTAAAAATATTTTTAATGTTGTCTCCTGTAGGATACTCGAAGTGTTTTTTAGCTGTAAAGTTTTTATAATTTGTAACCAATTTTATGTTTGTTTTATTTATTTACAACCTCTTCTAATTATTTAATTTATAATTTGTTTTAATCTTTACTGCGACAAAGAATATTTGATAATAAATGTCATTGAATTAAAACACGTAACTGTATACAAATCTGTTCCTTTCGATACAGGGTAGGACAACCGTTTCTCGTATTAGAGACAGCCGTTTCATACTGTAAGAGAAGGGACTCGACACATCAGATAAGATCGCCCTTGGGTACGATCGTAGAGAGAAACCGCTTGGTCCAGAAAGCTCAAATTTTAAACGTAAACCATTCTTGTTGTCAGTGAGGTCCTGGCAAAACTTCCTGGTCTATAGGTCAAAGTTCGCGGGGAGCCATTTCGTTAAATTATATGATAATAGGCCTACATATAAATGGATTATGTATGTTAATGTCGTCTTTATCCCGAACAGTTTGTAAATATCTATCCTTTCCAAATGTTTCAGCCCTGGTATTTCTATCACGCGGTGTGGTAGTCACCTACGAGTATGTTCCGTCTATAACAGTGTTTCTCAACCTCTAACGAATCGTCGCCCCATTCAATAAAACCGTTACGTAGTATCTCCCCCTTCGCTTCAAAACTCCGATGCCGAGGGCCAAGGCTAACGCCAAATTCGTACTACATCGAATAAACTAGTGACTAGTATAATGTTATTTGTTTATTTATTGTACGATATCTATATCTATATATATACTAGCTGACCCGGCAAACGTTGTTTTGCCATATAAATTATTTCTAGGTAATTTCTAGTGTAGACAAAAAATAACTAACTTATTGTAAGTGTGTAAGGATGTGGTATATGCGTGAAATAGGCATGGAGCGTTGTGAACGATGAGGGAATATAAAAATAACAAATGCCAATCATTATTATTTTTAAGTTATTATAATTTATTCCTTAAAATTATATATCATTAATCAATTACGACAGTAACACTAACAAACAATATCAATTTCTTAATGCTATAGCGTAAACAATATTTTTTGTTAGCCCATCTTTAGGTAACACAAACAAACTGGATGGTTTACCCACTCGAGAGCATACCACGTATAATTGTCCGTGTGAAAAACATGGTGTGCTCAAATCTAAGCCACAAATAGACATTGTTTGGCCTTGGGATTTGTTGATAGTCATTGCAAATGCCAATCTAATCGGAAACTGAATACGTTTGAATTGAATTGGCACATCTGTAGGTATAGTAGGAAATCGTGGTATTAATATATTTTCACCTCGGAACTTGCCATTTAAAATGCTGGCTTCGATAACGTTTTTCATTAATTTTTGAATGACTAATCGCGTACCGTTGCACAGCCGTGGCGGGTTCAAATTACGAAGCAAGATAATCGGAGATTCAACCTTCAATTGTAAATTATGCGGTGGCATGCCTGGCAAATCCATCGTTGTTTTATGTTTATGCAATATCCGTCTTGTCCCTTCCAGAATGTTAGCGGATATTGGAGAGCGTCATATGAACGATGTGTATCAGCAGTGAACTGAAGATTATTATTTCTTCTACGAATCACAATTTCTCGTGCACCTGTACGATCGCCAACCATGATTCCAGCAACGTCATCAACAACAGGTGCATTGAATCTACGAACATGCTCTCCAGCTGGTGTTTTATCAGGATTAATGACAATAGCGTGATTATCGCTTTGTAATTTGTGCATGTGTGATTTGAATATTTTCAGCAATTCATTGTGCTCGTTCAATAGAGCGTCTAGCTCGCTGACGATGCGTCTGGCAAAAAATGAATCAAGGTTATTATAGTGACAACGTGCATTCACGCGATTGGCAAGTGCGCTTCCGGAATCCTCGCCGCCCATGAAGTAGATTTGTAAAAATTTATGTGGTTCGTTTGGCATTGGCAGCAATGAGCCCATTTTATGATAAACTTGGCCTCTGATTTTGAATGTAGAATTGTATTGTTGACCATTTGCATTAGTATTTCGAACTATTTCTGTTGCTCCGAACGATGTCATTTGAAAGCATGAATTGAATGTTCGAATTGACTTCAGGAACACGTTAAAATCTGGATCCGTGCCGATAAGTAAACCGTTCAATGGTTCAGGTGGTGTTTCAATTTCAGATAGTTGCACTTTTCCTGACGCGCAACACATCCCAGCTGGCTCATTTTTGAATTTGAGAGCATGACAATGCGGACATTCCTTGTCCATAGCACCAATTACAACTTTTGAATGAGCATAATATTCAATATCGGGCTCATACTGGAATGCTAGACGCAGGAATGAATCAGATGTAAATGCTCGATGTACAGTACCTGTTGGCGTTGTTGGTCATTTGTTCTGCGTCTATTGACTGTGAAACGGCGTGATTGTCGTTGTTCTAATCTTATTACTTCATTGCGTTCAGCTCGTGTATCTTCTGATTGTTCTTGACGCAATTGCGCCATGCTCATACGTGCATCAGTATTTTGTTGCTGGATTTGTTCTTCGGTTCTTTGGGATCTTCTATTTCTCATGCTTCTAGATCTACTTGTATTACGGCTCAAATCAGCCCCTTTGCGTTTTCTTGGCATTGCTCACTGTACAAAACACACATAAATAGAAATAATGAAATTACTTAATGATGAAAAACGTTATAGTTATAAAAGATTAGGGCCAGGATTTTTGCCGCAGTTTTGAAATGATTAGTTTGAAATTTTGAAATTATAGCAAAAATATTAGTTTTATGAAAAAATTTTTGAAACAAAAGTTGTAAAAAATGAAATTTTACAAAAAAATTGTCTTTTANTATTTTGTAAATTGATTAACGAAGTTTAATAAAAATGTAAAAAAATACAAAAAGCGATGAATAACAAATATATAAAAGTATAAATTATAACAAAATAATAAAAAAATTACATTATTTAGGGCAAATAAATTTAATTACATTGTAATTTTTTTTAATTATATAATATGACAAAACACACTGTTTAGTCTTAGAAACGTTTTCCCAAGTACAATACAAAAATTACACTGTAATTTAGATTTACATCGTAATCTAAAC